GCAGCAGATTAAACTTGCGAATTCACCGTCGTTACGTTTGAAGTTTAGGCCACGGACCTGGTCCGTAGAATAACAAAGTTCGCGCGAGAAAGTCGCTCTCGTAGAACAACGAATCCACGCCGGGCGCCATTGTTGGCTATTTTCATGTTCGAGTGCGTTCGGAAAGATCAAGATGTCAAGGGAGATTTAATGACTTGCCGAAATTACTAATGCTAAGCTGGCCTCTTGACCATCTGCGTGCTTCTCTGCCTCCGGAGGTGCACGCTCTGTTCGGACTAGACAAGCAAACGCGCGGTTGCGGTTTAGCGTACGGAAGTTCCCCATCCATACCTTCTGCCGTGCTTAAGAAAAAACGCCGCATGAACCCTCAGAAGTTACCGAATTGTCTTTGATAAAACAAGAATTTCTAGGTAAACGTATGAATATTTTTCTTCCAATTTTTCAGATAATTTTACCCGCAATTCCACCAAAAAGTCCTGAAACTTTCAAGAGAAAATATTCATAAGTTTCCTAAAAGATGAACATTTTATCTAAGGAAATTCGGCAACTCTCGAATGCTCATACGGCGTGGGCAAGGGCATGTAAAACTTGCAATGCTGCTAAGATTGTGCAACTTTGTATACAATTTGTAGCAAACCAAGTTACACATACATGCTACTTATTTTTACAGAAATAAATCACTTATAAGACTTTTTCCAGAAAAAAGTCCTAGCAGCCGCAGTATCTACCCGATAAAACGCCTTTAAACCATTAAAAAAAAAAGAAAAAAAGTCCTAGCAGGGCTTTCGAACTGTTCAACTGGAAACGATGCACTAATTTGCACGATCTTAGCAGCACTGAAAATCTTATACGCTCTTATTCCAACGAACTCTTTAATCAGAAACACGATTCACAATCTCGGCATCGCCCGATGGTGCTTACCGATATGGGAATTTCGACTCTTTTCGAATCGCAAAGAAAACTTGCAGAAAATTTTCAAGAGTTTGTAACAGTTCTTAGGGTCACGAATGAATAAATTATCGCAGGAGCGTATGCAACGTTGAAGTGCAATTAAGCCCCCCTGGCTCCGGCTCCTTCATATGTCATGGAAGCTCTCATCTCTCACACTGCGAGACTCCGGCGCGAACTGCGCCGGAGCACATTGAGCATAACGACCAGGTGACCTTATTACGCAGAAGTGTAACACGACAACTACGTGAAACTCTCCAACCTGGTAGCTGTATGGTAAATGGTAAAAGCTAAGTGCTCCGGATCATGATTCATAAATCACTGGCTTACCTAAGCCCCTCTTATGATTTTCACGCTTATATCGAAGCCACGACAGCTCCTGGCCAAGTTCTCGTCGCGGATATCGAGCGCACGGCGAGAGAGAACGTCACTCTTTTGACGTAAGGGCGTTCCTCGATCTCTGCATGAGCCCCGGAAAGCGTGGATTTATAGGTAAAACAGGGCCCACGTGAAAATTGAGATGTGCCCTTACGTCATAGGACCGACGAGAAGTGACATAGAACGTGATTCCGAGATCCTCGAACCGAACCCATTACTTTCATCATCAGACAACGAGTGTAGAACCGCTGTTGTTTGAGAGATGCTCTCTCTGCATTCGATTGCTGTGAATCATTAGATTAGGCGAAAATCATGAGGCCTGAGAAAAATTTATCTTCAATTTTGCAAACATACTTTAAACGTATCGAAAATTATTCGAATCGACTAAAGAGTGGAAATTCAAAAACCTACCTCGAAAATCTACCTCAGCGCCATCAAGCGTTGTTGCGAAGATTGGGCGCCTGTGTTCTTTTTAATTCAACGAAAATCCAGCAAGATGAGGGCAACAAATCATACGAAAGAAATACCAAATAGAAATGAAGAAATACCAAATTTTTGAGGAACTTGCAGCTAGGTATGAAGTTCAGGATGAGACTTTTAGGTTCTTTTACCTACAGGGAGGAACACCATAAACAGAGACACTCCCCCCACAACATAGGTACCTGATGGCGCTTAAGCAGGTTTTCAATTTCCTCACTTTAACTCGCAAAAGGCGTAACATCCAAATGTTTCAACTGAATTTCGTTGATATCAAAATCAAATCTGTTTACAATCATGCAGAAACGTTACTTTTCGAATAAAACTGTACCTAAACCATCCTGCGCATGATAAGGGCCCTCGGCACCAAGGGTCAATTTTGAGAAAAATGCCTCGAATCTCTTTTCATCCCCACTTTCCTCGGAAGGGGCCTTCAGAAGTACGTATTGAAGCACTCTAATGCATGTTTCCTATTTAAAATTTTACGTAGAGCCCGATTTCGGCAAGGAAGATTATTCCAACTCTCGAGACGCACAAATTGCATCCATCGACTTGAAGCCTCGCTTCCGTTTTTAGTGAGTCAGACATAAACGCAAGAGTGGGGCTACATTCTAACTTTTGCAACTTATCTCAATTTCATTATCAAAATTGTTTTCTACGGGAAGAATCGAGTAAAAATAACTACACGTTTCGTTGCGATCGTCATTAAAAATATAAAGATTACAAGGAAAGTCACTCTTCCTCGGGACATCACGCTAAACTAAAATGCGAGATGCAACTTTTTCGGTTCCTAAGTCACGCAAATTACACTTATAGAGTTGCAAGTTCAATCAAATTTCAAAATTCTCTGACTTTTTCTGGTTAACTGAAACAGTCTGGCGCTGAAATTCCCTCACATTTCGTCGAATTTTTACAAAGAGGAAAGAAAAGGGTTAATTTGAAAACAGCGATGCAAACTTTGAAGTATACCACAATTGTTTTTATGAGGTTGAAACTTTTTAATAGCCCGATACGACAACTTACATGCTGTCTGGAAATATTGCAAATTGTTCTATGCTGCGTAAGAAAAATTAGAAGACAGGGGCAAAAAACCTAATGAAGAGAATATATAGGTGTTAATATTTAGATCCTCTCAAGTTGAACTGGCTCCCAAAGCGCGGATTCATACTGGGAGGTGGACGTTTCCGCACACTTTTGCGAAAAATCGTCCAAATAAAATTACTACTTCACAACGTCGCATTTCCTTTGCCTCCTTAGGTAAAGCGTGTAAAGGACTGAAGAGGGGCTCTACCGAATACATGGGCTTGGTCGACAAATAGTTTCTTAGTAATCAACTCTGCTATTTAGGAAAAAAGCAAAATTTTGGGGCTGATTCCCCCCTTTCCTTCTTACAGTTCCTCCCTGCCTACCCAAAAAAGCTGGTATTACTCGGGGTCCCGCAACAGCCTAGCTGAGTTTAAGAAAATCTCCCTCAAAAAAATAATTCTTCATCGGGATCGACGACATTAAAATCTTTTTCTGGTTTCCCATCATCATTATCATCTTTCTCCGAGATCCACACTTCTCGGATAGCTTCCAAAAATACGAGAATCTCAATTCATTTCGCACACACAAAGGCTACAAGCAAAGTAAATCTGGTTAACTTATCGGAAGACAGTGAGGCAAGTACAACGTTGCCAAATATTAATTTGTTTCAGCAATTTCTAAAAAAAGTGTGTGGAAACGTCCTGCAGCCTTCATACTCACGGCACTCGCTCTAAGAAAAAATTCCCGAAAACTCGGCAACACTAACGTGCGGTGTCAGCGCGCAATGGAGGTTTTAGCTGTTCAGACACAGTCTTGAGAATTTTCCTGAATTGGAGTGAAATAATCTAACTTTCCCCCAACTTTCTAGGTTGCTTCCGAATTCCCTGACTTTTCCAGGTTTTCCCTGATTCTTGCAACCCTGAAAGTGACTATAATCTTGTCCCAAAAGCAGGAGCCGTCATAACCGGGGTAGCGCGTGACACGGTGAGGCACGGAGGCGATGCAGTGGCGGGCCAATCACGCAGTTCAATCCGCCCGAGGACTCAAGACCGACCAATGGCCAATCTCCTGGTATAAATTGTGTAAATCGCTCAATTTCATTTTGCCAAAGCGACCGAGGATAATCTCGACAAATTGCTGCATGGCTTGCTGTGTAGGTCAGGAGCTATTACTTTTCTTTCTCTTCCTCGCTTTCCTCTTCCTTTCTTCTTTTCTTTTGAGTCCTCCTGTATACAACCTGATCCCCCGATGATGACGTCATTTCAGCCCATGGCAGCATTATTTTTTGCGACCTCTGTGGGCCCCAATTATGGGACCTTTTAAATCGAATGGGTTTAAAGGCCCTGACTGCGATGGAGAAAGTTCTTATTGATTTAATTACGTCCACTTGGCAACGTCGAGAGCGGCACTTATTCAAGAAGCTCTGGATCTCATGGTAGCTGGAACTTCAAAGATTTTGCCCCGTCTCGTTGATTCTGTGCAATTGATAATTTTCGGATCGTATACATGTACTCACCGGCCATCGGGTGCTTTCAGCATATGAAACGAACAATGGCGGATCCAGCAAATTGGCAGCATTGCCTTTTCTCCATTCAAACCTATATGGAAAAGTATCGATTCTTGGAGGGGCCAGGTGCTCCAACAAGAATCGATTATTTAGCATAGGTTTAAAGGAGGAAATCCAGTGTTGCCAAATCGCTGGATCCGCCTCTGCAAATTAAAAACACAAGATTTGGCCCATTTCCACTCTTCACACAAATAGCAAAGCAACACTGAAAAAAAGATACGGGCTATGTAGACATACCCTCCGTTCCGGACTCCGGGGCCGAAAGTCCCAGGTGCTGGAGGCGCAACTTCTACTGCTCCGAGTGCTACGCCCGAAACTTTCGGCTTCTGAGCCCGGAACGCACACGGTTTGTCGATACAGCCTATAACAGTGGCGTGGCGTAAATAATCGATTATCGATATCTCGCCATTTGAAGCTATGGTAAAGAATCGATTACTAAGGTGTTCGCTGCGAACACCCGGATAATCGATCTTTTTTCATAGGTTTAAATGGCACCACAATCGATATATCGCAATTCACGCCACACCACTGGCCTATTAGGACGGCTTCCACAACCGGAGTTTTTTTTCAGTAAAGGAATGAAAAAGCCTATAGACAAACTTACCGAAACATATTCTGCACAAATGTCGATCGAAGAGACGAAGGCGCAAACTTCATCAACGGACCAGCCGGAGACAGGGTTGGGATCCGCGGCGTTGGCGCAGCTACCATCGGCATCGGTGGAGGAACAAAGTGAGAGACACGGAGGCGCCGTGGCCGAGAGGAGTCGACTCCCGGCCACCGTGCTCAAGGGCGGCGTCGTGGGCGCAGCGCCGCCACTCCGCGAGCTCCTGGACTTGGGCGAAAGGCTCCCGGTTTTGCTGACGAGCCGGTCCTTGGCCGACTTCTGGAGAGCGTTGAGCATGGGCAGCGGCATGAGGGCGTCCGCCCCGTAGAGGCTTTCGCTGAGACTAGGTTGGTGCTTCCGCGACTTCTTGGCGGGGGCCGCGGCGGGCGGGGCGGCGGCGGCGCCCGGCGAGAGGTCCAGGGGGTTGTTGGTGGCTTCGGCGAGGCGCTTGTTGGCGCCCTTGAGGTAGCTCTCGAGCTGCTGGGCGTTCTGCGCGGAGGCGGTGCGCACCATGTTGAGGAGCATCTGGGTGGAGGACATGTCGATGGACGGGAACAGGGAGAGCGCGGGTCTAGGAACATTTGGCGAGGTGAAGCCCATGCCGAAGTTGGCGAAGAGCTGTTGGGTGTCGGACGGGGTGGCCGCCTGCCGCTTCGCGTCCGGGTCGGTCCCCTCTTTGGCCGCCGGCGAGCTCGTCATCGTTGTCGTCGGCACCGGTGACGTCGACGTCGTGCTCAGCGGGGAGATGAGCCCCGCGAAGGGTGCCGTTCCGCCCACCCCCTGCTTCAGGCCCGCGAATCGGTGGTCGCTCAGATTCGAGAATCCGTTCCGGGTAGAATTGAAGTAACTGCAAAAATAAAGAAGGAAAACAAATGAGAACAACTTAGCCGTGGCACTTTCAATGCCAAATGACATGACAAAACAAGCAGGCTGATCGTTCACGGAGAAAAAAACTTCGTGCGTGGGACCCGAAGTTTAGGTAAGTCCTTTTCTAGGTAATCTTTTGAAGAGGAATCATTTAACGTTTCCTTCTAAAGCAAACCTTCGGACGGATTGTTGAAATCGATAGACAAAGCTATAGACAAAGAAGACGGAAAAGATATGGAGGTATCCTATCGGTGGAAGTGGGTGGTTGCATGCAGTGGACAAAAGAGGTAGGTAATTAATAGACTAACTAACGGTAACTCACGAGAATCCCTTTAGTTAGTCCATAATTTTCCCCCTTAGTCTATAAAAATCACTCATAGAGACCAAAAGGATCATTCCATACTCATTATGACCTCTCTGTCTATCGCTTTGTCCATCAATATCAACACGGAGAAAAAACCTCGTGCGTGGGACCCGAAGTTTAGGTCATATGGATCTCTGAAGTTTTCGGATTGAGCATCTGAACACTTTAGGTCCAGCTGCTGAGGTTTGGATCGCACATCTGAAATACTTCGGTTTTCACATCTGAAAAACTTCGGTTCTCACATCTGCAGTACTTCAGATGTGAGAACTGAAGTTTCAGATGTGTGATCCGAACCTCGACAGCTAGATCTAAAGTGTTCAGATGCTCAATCCGAAAACTTCAGAGATCCATATGACCTAAACTTCGGGTCCCACGCACGATAGGGTGTAGCGAAAAAAACTTTTTTTCGCGCATGACATTCGCTACCCCTGGAAAGTATGTGGTTGGTGCATAAAAGAGCCCACAAAAAATTTCAGCCACCTACGATGACCGTAACCACTGCCACTTTTGTGTCAAAGTTTCGGATTTTAGGCGAAAAATCGCTAAAAACGCAACCCGCAACACATTTCTCGGGGGTTGTTCCGAGGGGCTTGGGGGGTAAATTTAATCATTTTCAGGTAGATTCGACACTATATGACAAGTAATTTCAGCATTAAAATGCCCTCTCGCTGATTAAAATAAGGGAACTTATCTTAAAATACCGTAGTAAAATCCTATTATTTTCAGCAAATCGGTGCTCTCGAACTATTCGTTTATTTCATTCAAAGTAGTGATGTTTCTGATTTTGATCACTCTTCTACGTGAAATAACCCTTAGAGTATACCACGGGGAGGTATCGGCTTAGCAAAATGCCCCCCCCCCGCCTCACACACACCCAACCTTAGGTGGGGGCNACTACGGTATTTTAAGATAAGTTCCCTTATTTTAATCAGCGAGAGGGCATTTTAATGCTGAAATTACTTGTCATATAGTGTCGAATCTACCTGAAAATGATTAAATTTACCCCCCAAGCCCCTCGGAACAACCCCCGAGAAATGTGTTGCGGGTTGCGTTTTTAGCGATTTTTCGCCTAAAATCCGAAACTTTGACACAAAAGTGGCAGTGGTTACGGTCATCGTAGGTGGCTGAAATTTTTTGTGGGCTCTTTTATGCACCAACCACATACTTTCCAGGGGTAGCGAATGTCATGCGCGAAAAAAAGTTTTTTTCGCTACACCCTAACTGCACGAGGTTTTTTTCTCCGTGTTGATATTGATGGACAAAGCGATAGACAAAGAGATCATAATGAGTATGGAGTGATCCTTTTGGTTTATTTGAGTGGTTTTTATAGACTAAGGGAGAAAATGATGGACTAACTAAAGGGACTCTCGTGAGTTACCGTTAGTTAGTCTATTGCCTACCTCTTTTGTCCACCGCAACCACCCACTTCCACTGATAGATAGGAGTAGAATTCCAGACTTTCCGTTGTTTTTGAAGAGGAATAACCTAAACCTTAACTGATGCCTTTGTCTAGTAGCACATTTTAAAAAAGCAGACCAAGAATCGGGTGCCCAATTCTGTTTGCTATTTATTACTCGAAACCGTTGTGCCCTCGCGCTAATGAGGTGCCTCACTAAGATCTCCGAATGTGACCCGGAAAATTCTTGCTCCATTTAAATTCATATTTTACTTCCTTGCTCAGTCTTTTCCTCCATCTTTCTCTATTATTCTCCCTTCTCCCGTCTGTCAAAGAGGATGTGATTGACCTCCAGTTTATCTATTATGATGGCTGAAGTGACTATTTTTAAAGCAGCGTAAATCGTCCTCTTTGTCCATATTCTGATTTATTTTCGTCAAAAAAGACGTAAAAGACCGCTAGTTTTCCTACTAAGAGGGCTTACGTGACTCGTTTTCTTCCATTATGTGCGGTCGGCTCAGAGAGAGGTAAGGCGGATTCCGCGGTTCAGTCAAAATTAATTGCGGTTTATTGCAGGGCACCAATTACCGCGGATATTTCGAGGACGAGGCCGGGCGGGCAACAGAAAAACGCGGTGAAAAGAAATGATCGTGTAAAAATGCGAGCTCACGTGAAAAGGAACGGTCAAGGGGAGAAAGCACCATTATTTTACTCACACGTATCATCTACAATTTTTCGGGTCCGCGGCCAAATTAGTAACACTCGCCGGAGTGGACGTTTTGTGAGACATTAGAGCGTTGAAAACTGGGTGCTCGGCAGCATGAGGACGTTGTCAAAAGCGTGGAAAAATCGATTCGACGTTGGGAAGCCGCACAGTGGATCTAGTCAGCACGAGAGGTCGGATAAAATTTGGAAACTTTAAACTCCTAAAACTCCAATTATACAAACCGTTAAGACTCTGAAGGTGGTTTTATTGGTTTTCTCGTAAAATTTTCTACAAGAAACACCCGTTGAAATCTAAAATGTGACGAAATAAACATTGAAATTTGCAGTTTTAGTCAATAATTTCATGTCCGACCTGTCTAATTAACTCGATCCACTGTGAGCCGGTGCGGCGGAGTTACCGCGGGCGAGGCTGGCAACTCGAAGCCCGACACGTGATTAAGAGATGTTTCGGTGCTTCAAAGTGAAGAAACTCTCGACTCGAGCGCGGGCAGCGTTACGCTCATAATGCCTCCGACTATAAACTGGACACTTTAATTATGCCCTAAACTCGCCAGCCTGCATGCGCGTGGTCCTCCAATCAGGCCATCCGAGGCGCAGAGACTGGACGAATCTTTTTTGCCGAGTCACATTTTCGTAGGGGCTTACGGGCTCAAAATTTTCCGGGACGGGGAGGGGTCAGGTCGTCATTTTCCTCACGAAAGAACGTAACTATATTCCAGTGCTGCCAAATTTCCACTCGTAAATTGATTATTAACAAGGAGAATCTTAGTCATTCCTGACTGAACTTTTCCATGATTTTACCTCAGATTTCATGCAAAAATCAGAAAAATGTTGGATACAAATTGCACTTACACATTTTTGTAAAATGAATCAATTGTTTGAGTAAATTTGGCAAACTTGGAATGGTGTTACGTTCCTTCGTCCGGGAGACAACGATGACACGTTCCGGGATTTGGAACTTTTTTGTTCCGATTTCTCCGACTCCATGACCGTCAAAAGTGCCAGGATCCCTTTTTAGCTTTTTTCAAAACTTCCGAGAAAGTTCCAAAAAATGCGAAAGATCCGGAACATTTTTAGAATTTTAAAAGTTCCGGGAAAAATTAGGGAAAATCTCAAAGGTTCCGGAATTCTGGATTAGTTCCGGGAAATAAGGGCACTGGGAGAGTTCCTCCGAAAATAGATTTGACCCCGCTTCTATCGTTTGGGAGACTATACTCTGACTAATTTTGAAAATCACATATAAGATCGTATTTAACATGCACTTATTTGTGTATTTTTAAATAAAACTAGACGCGTAGGCCATATTTCAAGAGGTATAGATCAGAACAGAATCATAATGTTCACTAATATATCGTATCAGAATTTATTGTGCTATGGATTCGCGCCACACAGCGAGTGAAAAGTGGTGAGAGCTTGGATAGTCAAAACGCCTTCTCTTGCATGCGTATGCAACACGGACGTCCATGGAGCCCGAATAGTTGCATCCAGGAACTAAAATGAAATTTGTATAGTTTTCGTCGTATTCGACACCGAATGAGGGCGCTTCGCTTGTTTCCTCTCACAACCGACCGTCGGTAACTCTTAGGCTAAAGTCAGCAAGGTTGACTAAGGCAGTAGAGCTATATTTTCTGACAGTATCGAAGTTATGGTCTAGTAATTTTATCTTCGCGGGTTTTTCATTCCCTTTTAAACTAAGTGTAAATATGGGTTGCTCATTCAGGTTGCTGATATCATTGAGAAAATGAACTTGAAAACTAGGAATAATAAAGACCATGAAGCAAAATTTCGCCTCGGGTGCGATGACTACTCGAGAAATAAATTGGATTGCATTTTGCAGAAAGGGACCACTAGCATTGCAATGATGCTAAGATTGTGCAACTTCATCCTTCGCAATAAAATTGCGGAAATCGTGAAAAACTATGAAATCTCGACGGTAATTTTTGTCTTAAATTCATAGTTTTTAGCGAGTAAAATAGAAATTATTAATGGATAATCGGGTTTTTCCTCCAACACTAAAGAAGTTGCACAATCTTAGCAACATTGCAATACTAGTGGTTCCTTTTTGCAAAATGCAATCCAATTAACACTTCTAGGAATTTTTTTAAAAAAATTCGACTATCCATGGAATTGACAGAATTGCTTCCTACTGAGTATCTTTGGAGCAAACTAAAATAAGGGAAGAAAATAAATCTAACAATTTTATGAGGCGGCAAACCACAACTTCTCTCACTGATTGGCGAGCCGACGGCCTAAACTGCTTCTTTCATTGATGAGTTACGCGCCGGCTCAATGCGGCCAGAGCAATACGTCATATTTTTTTTCGCGTGGCACAAGGAACATGGTAACTAGTTTGGAGGCGAGGAGATCGGGGAAGCGCGGGGGCAGCGGATACACCTCTCGCCGATCAGGGTAAGGTGGAAGGTGTCAGCAAGTTGACTTTAAACAACTCACCGAGAGCTGGGATCAGTCGTAACTTAGCTGCCCGTTTTACAATTTAAATTGCTCGTCACGTTGCGTTGCGCCCAAGCCTACATCCTCGATCCGCGGGTCTCTAACTTTAAAATCTAAATTGCTTCGCTACCATCTGCGAACATCCATTCAGGGCTGCTTAGGGTGTCCCTCGAAAGATCCACCCTTGAATTTTTATTCGGTCTAGATGAAATCAATTGACCCTTTGTTGCATAGCGTTGCATGAAAGCAACAAATGTTTTTTTGGATTTGATCCTCTGTGGCATTAAATTGCGCTAAAGCAACACATGGTTTTTGGAGAGGATTAGAGGTCTGATCTCCAAAGTTATCAAAAAAAATATAAATTGGAACTTAATCTGTTCCTTGAATCCTAAAAACACTGTAGAATGTAGATTTTATCTCTGAAATTGGTGACTGGCTCATGCAACAAATGGTTAAAAGCTCAGGTAGGGTAAGAGTAAAAACAGTGGGCCACGTTTTTTCAGTGGTCTAAAAATTATATTTTATTACTGCCACGCAAGGAAGAACACCGCACAGTGGATCGATTCGATTCGGGAGATCGGACATGAAATTTTTGACTGAAAGTGCAAATTTTGATGTTTATTTCGTCACATTTTAAATTTTAAGGGGTGCTTGTGGAAGAAATTTTTTCGAGGAAACCAACACTAAAAAAAATCGAAGTTGATTTAACATTATGGATGTAAGAAAAGTGTGCGAAAACTTACAAAATGCTGAATTAACTCCTACAGCAGTAATTTTAGCAATGTCAAGATGTAAAACTAACTGTCGTAGCGGGTAATTTAGCCTTTTGTGAGTTCTCGCACACTTTTTTTACATCCAGAATGTTAAATCAACTTAATTTTTTTTTCGGTGAATGAAACGACTTTTAGAATCTCAAAATTTTGTATGAACGGAGTGGAAAGCTTTTAAATTTTGTCCGACCTCTCCTATTGACTCGATCCACTGTGCGCCGTATAAGCCATCATGTGTTACCAAATTTCCTTCAAAAAACAACGAGTTTTCAGGACAATTTGTGAATATTTCTCCTTCGATTTTTCGGAGAATTTTGCTCGAAATTTGATCTAAAAAGTCTGAAAATGTCAAGGAAAAATATTCATAACTTTCTTCAAAAATGGATATTTTTTGAGAGGAAATTTGGCAACATGCGAATGCTCATACGGCGTTTTTCCTTTACACGGCAAATTAGTGCGGTCTAATAATTGTAGTTTTTTCTGTTATTTGTCGTGGAGCTAATCTACAGTGTTGAAAGTTACTCCTTAACAATGGTTTCAATAAAAAAAATTGTAAAGGATTGTAAAAAATAACAAAACGTATCCAGATGCGGATAATGCTCGTCACTAATCTTTCATCTTTGTCACATGTCACGTGTATTTTCTACTGATGATGAGCTTTGGCACCTTGAACTACATTTGGATTAAAAATATCAACAACTGCACCAATATGATGTGAGGAGGGATGTCCCTTCCTCAGAAATCTACTTCGCCCTCCCAAGAAATGCGAGGGACTTTGCTGCGGTACATATCTTCCATCTTTGGAGCTGTAATTACATACATTTTTCGGTGAGAAACCTTAAAATTACTACTCAATCTAACCTAACTCAATTTTTAAAATTTTCCCGCGGAGGCTTCTGC